TCCACACTTGAACCATAGGATCATCACTCAGCCCTTGGTGGACAGAAAAGCTTTAGCCTAGTTAATAAATTCCAGCCCCCCGGAAGAACTCCGGGGACCGCAAGCAGACCTACAACATCCTGAGCACGCTGGGGCTGCGGCCCTCGGCCGCCGACTGCGACATCGTGCGGCGCGCCTGCGAGAGCGTGTCCACGCGCGCCGCGCACATGTGCTCGGCCGGGCTGGCGGGCGTCATCAACCGCATGCGCGAGAGCCGCGGCATGGACGTGATGCGCATCACGGTGGGCGTGGACGGCTCGGTGTACAAGCTGCACCCCAGGTGAGCCCCCCCGCCTGGGGATGGCCGGGGCCGGTCTGGAGCGCGCTAGGAGCCACGAAGCCCCGCTTACCCCACCCCAACCCCCGCGCAGCTTCAAGGAGCGGTTCCACGCCAGCGTGCGCAGGCTGACGCCCAGCTGCGAGATCACCTTCATCGAGTCGGAGGAAGGCAGCGGCCGGGGTGCCGCGCTGGTCTCGGCCGTGGCCTGCAAGAAGGCCTGCATGCTGGCCCAGTGAGAGCGGCGGCGGCGCGCGCGGGGCGGACCCGGCTCCACGGGGACGGCGCTCCCCACAGGGGCTCCAGCTCAGCCGGCCAGGGGGCCCGGGCTCGAGAGGACCCCAGATGCTTCCCCACCCACTGTACCCCTGGAATTGGGGAAGAGCCCTGGGGATCGGAGCACAAGTCTGTTGGCAGAGTCGGTTGGAGGGACAGCCCCAGGGCACTGGCGGGGTGGGAGCTGGGCAGGACAGGGACAGGGACAGACACTCCCAACGCCGCAGGCCTTTCCTGTGGGAACCCAGCACCCCAAGGGCGCTGGGCACTCATTTCCACACGGCCTGCCTCCCACGCTGGGCCTGGTTGGGCTCCCCTGGGAACTTACCGCGTGGGAGGGGATCCAGTTGCTGGGTGGGAGCAGACCGGCCAGCAGGGTGACCCCAGGACTGGCTGAATTCCTGCCTGTGGCTTCAGATGCTGGGGGAGCCACACAGGGGGCCGCCCCACCCCCAGTGCCCGAGCACCCGGAGTTCTGGACTGGACCCGCGGGCAGTGGCACCGTCAGCCTCCACAGGCCAGCGCAGGAAGAACCCCTGCAGCATTGCCACACCCCAGGGCTACCCAGGCCCCTCTCCAGAGCCACCCACCCTCTCCATGCCCACCCTGGGACTGTGGGGTTTTTAATTAAAAATGCAAAAGATGTGACCGTGGTCTGGCCACCGATCTTTGTGCACAAGGGCCTGGGGACAGCGTGTGAAGAGACACTGCGCACCCTCGGACGCGCTGGCCGGCCCTGTGTGTCCCTCTGAGGCGTGTGAAGAGCGGCAGGCCAGCCGTCCCCCGCGTGGGCTCAGAGGTGCCGGCGGCCCTGCGGGCAGGAGGGGGAGCACCCGGCCAGGCGCTGCTCTGCTCAGCGGGGTCTGGCCCCTCAGAGCACTGAGGGGGGCTGGGATCCAAATCGTCACAATTTCCAAGTCCCCGCGGAGGCTGCTGTGAGACACCAGGCACTGTCTTTTTTTTTTTTTTTTAAATGATTTATTTAATTTAAAAGGCAGAGTTAGAGAGAGATCTTCCATCCACTGATTCACCCTCCAGATGGCCACAATGGCTGGGGCTGGGCCAGGTCAAAGCCAGGAACCAGGAACTTCTTCCGGGTCTCCCACATGGGTGGCGGGGGCCTAAGCACTTGGGCCATGCTCCACTGCCTTCCCAGGCGCTTTAGGGAATTGGATTGGAAGAGGAGCAGCCAGGACTCGAGCCAGCGCCCATGAGGCATGCTGGCATCGCAGGCAGAGGCTTTACCCACTGCACCAGAGCGTGGGCCCCCCAATGGCCATCTCTATGTTACGTTTTCCTCGTCCTGTTTTCTGGTATTTCTCATGTGGAATTACTTGGATTATCTTCCTTCTTGGAGTCTCAGTCATTTAAGTTGGTGCAAACATCCGGTTAGCTCATCAGGACGAAATGTGCTCACATTGGAACATTCACATATCAGAACACATTTTTATGTCAATGGCCATTTCTTTCTCCTTTGTGTGACAGTCTGAGGCACCGTGTTGACCTGCAAAGATTCAGGGGTGAGGGCCCACACTGAGGCACGTGGGTGAGCCCCTGCTTGTGACACCGGTATCCCATGTATGGGGAGCGCCGGTTCAAGTCCCAGCTACTCTGCTTTCCATCCAGCTTCCTGCTAAAGTGTGTGGGAAGGCGGTGGATGATGGCCCAAGTGCTTTGGCCCTGCCACCCATGTGGGAGACCCAGATGGAGTTCCAGGCTCCTGGTTTATTTTTTTTTTTTTTAAAGATTTATTTATTTACTTGAAAGAGTTACACAGAGAGAAGGAGAGGCAGAGAGAGAGAGAGAGAGAGAGAGAGAGAGGTCTTCCATGTGCTGGTTCACTCACCAATTGGCTGCAATGGCCAGAGCTGTGCCGATTCGAAGCCAGGAGCCAGGAACTTCTTCCAGGTCTCCCACATGGGTGCAGGGGTCCAAGGACTTGGGCCATCTTCTACTGCTTTCCCAGGCCACAGCAGAGAGCTGGATCAGAAGTGGAGCAGCCGGGCCTCGAACCAGCGCCCATATCGGATGCCGGCACTGCAGGCGGCGGCTTCACCCACTATGCCACAGCGGC